TATTTAGTCAGCACGTGACCATTCGCGACGATTGAGGGTGATTGAGGCCTACCAGTCTGTAGCCAATATCCATCGCTAACTGGACGCACAGTCAGCAAGTGACGCCGATGATTTGTTGGGAGTCAATCACTGCAAGTTTATCCTCTTTCTAGCCAGCCCTCAGGAATGAGCCAAGTGGCCAAAACTGTGTGGCGCCAAAGTGGCCATCAAAAAGGTCAAAGGGTTAGAAAGTTGGTAAACAGACTTTTCAGGATGGATTACCAGCTGTCTAAGAGTGTTCTTTCGGGGTACATAACTCAAGGTGACTTAAGCTTTGCTTACCGGAGGGCACAAAACAGTCAAAAACGTCTTAAAATGGCCAAACATGAGTTTCGTTATGCCTGAGGCTAAACAAAACTAGAGGGCTGATGACATCAACCAGGTCATCTGGACTAACTAGTCCACGTTCGAGATGAAACACCCGTCCAAACCCGAAAACAACCCCATAAGGGCGAAGGAGGAGGCCTTCATTTCGTCCCGTTATGTTCCTATGCAAAAGGCCAGGGTCACTGTGTTGTGGGGTTATAGGCGTTCTGGAGTTGATCAAGTTACAAGTGGCAACCCAGAAACAGTTTTGGGAAGCAGAATGCTTTTCCAAGAACATCTAGGAGGAATTTCAGCCCTCAAGCTGAACTCGAACCGCGAGTATGAACACATTTATAGAGGAGAAAATGGCATCCGGGAGGTCGTAGGCCCATCTTCAGGCAAGACAGTGCATCAGTGCACAGGTCAAGCAAAGCTTAAAAGCGGTGCAAGGAGATTGTGACAGGCGTTTGTGGCAAGATCACATGCCAGGCACCTCATCGGATCAAAATTTCATAAAAATTTGTTGGTTATGCTGAAGTTGAGGCTCGTCGAAGCGTAGCGCTGTTCCAGCCTCGAGGAGCTCACGGCGCATGTCAAGTCAGTCTGGGTTAACTTTAAGCCTGCTATGCAGCCAAACATGCCGGTTGGCATGCCGCAGCATGCATTCATGTGTTTGCCTATTAAATGGGGAGCACATTGAGGGGTCATAAATATACCAAAACGCAATGTACTCTGTTTCACATGCAAACATAATGTGAGAACGAACTTATGGGACACCCTGTATGTTCAAACGTCGCCGTCGGTGCATCCAGTCGAGTGATTGGCGTAGATCGACCCCGGTATCCTACTCACAACATTTGTGTGTATTGTTTACAGGTGCAGCAGCCTGAAATGCACCAGGGCTGACTGTCGCCACACTAATCATGGTGAAGGTGGGTAAATCTCCCGCCGAATATTCGGACGTCTCGTCGGAGGCTCTGAGCGAGCCGGAGGCCGGCGAGATTCAGAGTGACGACAGCGTCCATGACGAACTGTCGGAGGGGGAGGTGTCTCCCGGCTCGCCGGTCCCGCCTCCGGTGCGCCGGCCGCCGCCGCCGGCCGCCCCCGGTCTGGGGCCCGCCCCAGGCGCCTATGGCCGGCCACCGTCTCGCTCGCCGAGCGCCGAGCGACAGCGGGCGCGCGACAAGCGCAAACGACGCCACCGCGAGCGCGACGGCAGCGCGAAGCGGCGTCGCCGCCGGAGCCGCTACTCGGCCAGCCCGGACGCCCGGCTGCCCAGCGCCAGTCCCATCTCCTCCGGGGACGACGTCGGCTCGGCGCTGCCGCCGCGGGACGGCGCGCTCAGCCCAGAGCAGCAGCAGCCGCCGCCGCCCGCACGGCGCCGCGCCAGTCTCGGCGGCGCCAGCCCGTTCAGCTCCAACTCGGAGGGCGGCATCCCCGACTCGCCAAACGGTGAGGTGGCCAGGCCGGTGGGCCGCGGCCGCTCGCCGTCCTACGCCGACGCCGGAGGCCGCGGCGGGCGCGGGCGGCGGCTGACGCCACCGTCGGCCGAGAAGCGCCGCAAGTCGCGCTCCCGCAGCCACGAGCGCGAGCGGAGGAAGCGCTCACCAGTCAGTCGCAGTCGCAGCCGCTCGCCCAGGTGAGTGAATCGTCAGGTGCTGAAGGGCTTTTGAACGGTGCTGTCTAATGTTGAGGTCTGCCGGCGTCTATTTCTTAGAGCTAATTCAAACAGAACACATAGTAAGTTGTGCAAAGTATGACATCACATATTTCTATTATGTGGATGTGAAGCCCATATGAAACGTGAATTAAAAGCATCTGGTTTGACCGTGGCCTGCCATTTGATGCCTCACCTGCACTGCACCGTGTGGCTGCCCTTTTGGGATGAAATTAGTTTTGTTAGCGAAGTTTCAATGTGAACTGTTACTGCAATGTCTTTTCTGTATCGTTGTTTGCACATAACCAATTACCATGATTTTGTTATTAACGACCTCAAATGTTTTCCACTCATCCGCTGCCTTTCCTTTCCTGCCTAATCCTCGCTCACATTGCTGTGTTATAGCCGATCGTCGCGGCATCGCGTCGAGTACGACTGCGAGCCGTCGCCGCCGCTGCAGCGGGACGGTCCCTTCCTGATCCCGCCGCCGCCGCCGCCTCTACCGCCCGGCATGCTGCCCTTCCGACCGTGCCGGCCGTGGGTGCCCGGTCCGTTTGGGCCGCGCCCGCTCGATCCCCGCCTGCCACCGTTCATGCATCCAATGGCCGGCCCGATGGGACCACGCGGACCCATGTTCGGGCCGCCGAGACCACCGTTCGGGCCGCGCTGGGGCGCACCGTGGCCGCCGTTTCGCGGTCCGATGGGTCCTGGTCCTCCTGGTCCTCCCGGACCGCCTGGTCCGCGTGGTCCTTATGGTCCCGGTGGACCTTGCTGGCCGTCGCGACCCCAGTTCGCCCCCGGGTACGGTCAAGATCGGCCGGAACCGGAGCGAGAGCGAGAGCGAGAGTCGGAGCCGGAGGAGTTCGGGACGCCGTGTGACACTAACCGGGAGTCGGGCTCCACTCGCGAACGTTCGCACAAACATCGCAGTCACGATCATGACTCACGTAGAAGAGAGAAGAACAGAGACGGTCGTTCAAGCTCCCCGCGAGACGATGGACAAAGGAGAAAAGACGAGGAAAAGGTGGAACGGCGAAAGAAAAGGGAAAGATCGTCAGGTCATAGAACAGATTCAGATGCAATGTCTTCAGATGATCAGTGTGAGGTTGTGGCTGAAGGCTCGGAGGAGATTTCACACAAATCTCGCAGAAGTTCGAAGATGCATTCTAGCTCACCGGAGCAAAAGTCGAGTAGAAGGGCGAAAGACTCGCCGAATTTGACCGAGTCGCCTGATCGCAGAGATTCGCAGACCAAGCAAGAGAACACTGATGGAGGAGACCGTGCGAAAATAACTCGGCGAAGAAAAGCACGCAGAAACAACCGCGAGGATTCTGAGAGCTCTCCAAAAAAGGAGTTAAAAGGTGAAGCGGAAGACGACGATTCAGTTGAAGATACTACCAGACGCTCTCCTGAGAAGCGTCTCAAATCGACGAAGAAGCGCTCGAACTCAGATCTTCAGACAAGTCGCAAGACGGGCAAAGGATTAGGCTCGAAGAAAACCTCGACAAAGGACAAAAGTGGCGCGCCAAAAACTATTACAAGAGAAGACACACACCTAGGATCTCGGTCAGATAGCGATGGAGAGATGGAAAGTCTTGTGGAGCCAAGAGTAGACCGAAAAGTAAATGAAAGAAGACTTGATCCAAGGACAATGGGGAAACAGAGTCCAGCAGCAGCGCTTGAGAAAGATCCTTGCATAAGTGCATGCGGTTCTTGTTCTGATCCTCGCATTAAGTCTCCAGAAACCCCTCGCAAAGACGTCCGCAAAAATTCTCGCTCAGATCCTAGTGGAGAACAGCACAGTAAATCAGATGATCGCTCAGACATTCGGATGGTTTCTCGCAAGCAGTCTCGCACAGATCTTCACACGGATCCTCGCACAGATCCTCGCATAGATCCTCGCGCAGATACTCGCACTGATCCTCGTACAGATCGGAGAGATTCTCGCGCAGATCCTCGCACAGCTTCTCGAATAAATCCTAGCACAGATCCTCGAACAGACCTTCGCACAGATCCTCGCACAGATCCTCGCACGGATCCTCGCACGGATCCTCGCACGGATCCTCGCATAGATCTTTGCACAGATCCACGCACGGATCATCGCACCGATCCTCGCCCAGATCCTCGCACAGATCCTCGCATGGATCCTCGTACAGCTTCTCGCCCAGATCCTCGCACAGATCCGCGCACAGATCCTCGCACAGATCCGCGCACAGATCCTCGCACAGATCCTCGAACAGGTCCGCGCGCTTCCCCTGCAAACGTTCCTCAAGACCCACGAACGATTGCGCGTGGGAGAGAGCCTAACTACAACTTACAGGGAGATGAGAGACGTCAGGAGCTACACTCTGGCCGTGAGGGAAGAACTACGCCGGAGCGAATAACAACGAGACTTAGGACGCGTGAAATAATGCAAAACTCTGAGAAGCGCAATGGAGGCCCTTGGTATGAAACCAGGAGCCGGACAAAGCAGAGCAGCTTGCCTAATGACGCGTATCACTGGAGACGCGATAGAGAGACCGGAAGTCGGAATCGCAGTGGTGCGGAAGGCGAAGACAGCCCGGAAAATCCCTGGCGCTGGAAGGCCAAGAAAACTAGGAAAGCTAGTCCTCGTCGCGGGAGTGATGAAGAAAGGCGAAGATCGTCTGAAGAACGCCAGGACAAGCGAGAAAAGCAAGACTCGAATGATGATCGAGAAATCGCCAGCTTTAGAAGAAGAGTTTATCGAACACGGTCTACAGACACTCAAAGCTACCGTATCGAAGTGGATGTGAATAGAGACTCGCCTCGAGCAAGTGCGAGGCGATACGCGAGAGAGGAGAGCTCAACAGGGAGACGGGGTCGTGGGTCCTACCGAGGTCGCAGAGGACGCGGCTACTTCCCTAGAGGCGCACGAAACTGGTCTCTTCGTGGTGGGCCGCGTGATCGTTGGGGAAGCCCGAATGACGATGAGCGTCAGGAAAACGGTAGAAGGAGCGGTCTCCGCTCTCGACATGGTGAAGTTAGTCCCGGTTGCAGCCCTCATAGTCCAACAAGTCTCCGCAGCTCTGTACGCATTGTCCGAAGCACCAACTCCAGTGGGAGAAGCCCTTCCGAACGAGACGATGCCGAGGAGCGCTGGCTTCAGGGGCACACGCCGTGCGCCCGGTTGACGAGGAGTAGGTCACGGCGTCTGTCGGACCCTCAGGGAGGCCGGAGCCCTCCACCTGCTCAGGGGAGGGGGACACGAAGCAGCTCAAAGCCCTTCGCTGAGGAACTGGGGTCACCAGGTCGCGAAACCGCTGGAAGGATGTATGGGGGCAGAGATCGGCACTATGCTGGTCAGAGAGGACAGGTCGCCGATCCTCGACTGGCAAGAGAAAGGTGGACACAGTCGGAGCGCAACTTCTTGGATACTGAAGTAGGAAACCAAGACTCAGATGGGCCATATGACAGAATGCGTTCTACCTCCAAGAAGAAATCCAGACGTCGAACAAGAGACGCGTCCGACAGCCCAACTCGTCGGTCGTCTCGTCGCTCCGGCTGGAACACGGAAACAAGTTTTCTATCAAAGCAAGGTGAGAACCGTGGTGACAGCAGCAATGATGACAAGAACAACACTGAGAGTGACTCATCAACCTCGGAGTCGGACGATTCTGAAGATTCTGAGGGCAGTAGCTCATCGGAGGCGAGCTTTTCAAGCAGTGAAAGCGAGTCTCACACGGCGTCCCTGCCCAGTCCGAACATCTCACTCTCGGTCAGTGGCGAGGACGACGATGATGAAGTATCGGCGGAACACTGGACGGTTACGGATATCCTAAAGGACCCTTCCGAGAGCGACTTGGAGGCGGATGGAGATTTATCAAAGACAACCGGCCCAGTGGAGATGGACAAGACAGCCGAAGGCGAGCCCAGACGTGATGTCAAGGGTGCAGTTGCAGAAAGTGCAGTTAGCTCAGTGTTGAAAGACGAGGATGCGGATCAAAAACAGACAGAAAAGGGTATGTCTGAGCGAGACGAGGAAAAGGGGCTGCTCGTCACAGTGACAGGCCGAGAGGAAACACGCTCCAGTACTGCCGAGAACAGTGTCGTTCCTTGCCCTCGCCAGGAGGATGGCTCTGATGTTACTGCACCGGTCGACGATGACGCCGTTCCGAGCGACAGCACTGCTGACTTGCCTGTGAGCAGCGAGCCCGGCCCTAAAGTCGGACAGGTCGGCAGACAGGGGGAGTCTGAAAGTAATGCTAATGTGCGAACGGGTCAGCTCGATACGTCTGGTGCGTCCGTAAACGATGCAGTTGAAGCAGATGAAACGAATTGCTCGGGACCTGAGGAAACGAAGTCGGTCAAAGTCTGCGGTGAGAAGTCATCAATTGCCAGTAACGACTCTGCCAAAGCTCCGAGTACCTCTGACGATTTAAAAGATCAAGTACTTGGTGCAGACGAAGGGCATGCTCGTGAAAAGAGAGAACCTTCATCAACCGACGATCATTTGACTTCCTGCGATACAGAAGCTGCTTCAACCAATAACATTGCAACACATCGGGACGCGGGCGGAGAAGCCGCTCCTGCCACCGCTGATGATCATCACAAGCTCTCAGACTGTCCGAGCTCTCCTCTCGATGAACGCGACTCAGAAGGGTCCAGCCCGCCAGGCAGTCCCGGTCCGGAGTGCGGTGATCCGGAGCCGGTGGCCGGCCTGTTGGAGCGCGCGCGACACCTCATGTCCAGCCAGCTGACCAGGATGTGTGCGTCGTCGCCGGCGCTGGCCCACATGAGCGCCGATGAGGACGATATTCCCCCCGACGAGGACGAGATCCCGGCCTCGCAGTTCGAGGAGTCGCCGGCGGGCCGGTGCGACTCGCCGCCGCCTTCCTCCGCCTCATCCTCCACCGACAGGTGGGCGCCCTGCCAGTCCTTTCTCTTTTCCTATATATGCCGCTAGTTATTGCCAGTTTTGTGGCTTGGTATTCTTATAGCTTTCCTAAAGCATGGTCAGCGCAAATATGACAATTCTGCATAAAACGCCAAATACTATTTTTGAATGCCAGCTGCTTTCCATGCTACATTTTCTTGAATTAGATGTTGCGGTTTGGTGGTTCATTTCTTTCAATGCTTATTTTGGCGTTTGGCTGGAATTGCATTCCTTCTACTGAGAGGCTAGCTCCGCTACGCGTTATGTCGTAAGCATGCTGCAAAATTGTAACACTGTCCCTTGTGCACTTCTATTTATCGCTTCTAGTCTGAACCAAATGTTTCGAATTCTTATCTAATAAGATTGTTCTTTTCGTAATTTATAGTTGACATTTTTTATGAAGCAAGGGAGGTTTACCTCAGGGTATATTGGGTTTACCTTGCGAATGCATTTAATCATTATCGGTGAATGTTTTTCTTCAATTGTTTTTACCTGTTTTATCACTTAAGACCTCGTTTCCTTTTCCATCCTATAAGAGTGTTTTGTTTTACCTAGCTCTCTTTTCTGTCGCACCGTAAGGTGTAGTACGTGGCCGGTTGATATTTTGTTACGAATATGAATATCAGGCAATTTCGTAACACGCTTGGGTTGTGTGTTTCAGGTTTAGGAGGAATTACTCCCGATCTCGGAGCAGAAGTCCCGGCAGAGGGAAGCGCAGCTCCCGCAGCTCTCCTTACCACAGAAAACGGCCAAGGTAGGAGTCTACTCTCAAATGTTTTCAGCAGTTTTTGCCATATTTATACAGCTAACTCTGTTATGTGACGGGAACGTCGTGAACAATTAATATTTGAGACATGTGTCTCGAGTAGCTAATTGTTAAATGATTGGGTACGTACATCTGCTGCGGTTTGTGACTCCACACTGCTGTCGGTTTGTAACTGCCTTCAAGGAGCTTCAACTCGCTGACCGGTGTATGTGTGGGTCTGTGTCAACAGGCGGCGGTCCCGCTCCCCCGTCCCTGCCTACTCAGGGCGGCCATCCTACGGGGGCGGACGGTACTCCCCGCCGCCGCCCCCGCCGCCGCCGCCGCCCCAGTCCGGTCGTCGCGGCGCCACCTCTGCCAAAACGCTTAACAAAATGTCCGAGACATCCCTGTACGCTGAGCTCGTGAAGCAGAAGAAGATTCGAGAGAAGGCTCTCCGTGTGGTGTCTGGCTTCCAGCAGTCGGATGATGGCAAGGTAATGGAGCCGGCTGTCAAATCAGCTAGTAGTTGTCAAACTGCCATAGCTGTCATCGCTACGTCGCTTTGATATTTGAGTGAGTTATGGCTTCTTAGTGTAATCTGTTATTGCTTTTAACAGTTTAATTGTCGTATTTTAATTCTTGTAGGACTAAGACAGGGAATGTGATGTTTTCTTCTCCGAATGCGTGCTTTGGTTAGGCCCAATATGCAGCCGATTATGTAAAACTTGTTCACCGTTTCTGTGCGCAGTGCAAAATCTTCATTGTGTGCCACTGACGTTTCCCTTGCATTCGTGCGTTCAGGAGAAGGAGAACGTGTACCCGGACGGGGACGGCTCCGGCCGAGACCTGGCTGACGGCGCCGACCAGCTGGAGACCATCGAGTCCTCGCCGGAGGTGTACACGCCCGAACAGGAGCCGCGTCGGTCCGAGGGGCGCGGCCGCGTGCGCAGCCCGCCGTCCCGCCGACGGGGCGGCACCCCGCCCCTGCCGCCGGGACACAGGAGGGGAGGCACGCCCCCGCTGCCGCCCTCGCACCGGCGCGGCGGGACACCGCCCCTGCCGCCCGGCAGACGGGGAGGAACGCCTCCACTTCCCCCGAGTCACAGGAGGGGAGGCACGCCTCCACTGCCGCCCAGTCACAGGCGGGGAGGTACTCCGCCGCTGCCTCCTGGCCATAGGAGAGGGGGCACCCCGCCACTGCCGCCTCCCAGCCACAGGAGAGGAGGCACTCCGCCGCTACCTCCGCCTAACCGCCAGGGCCGCTCTGCCGCCGTCCGACCAGGTTAGTCACCGACCGTGTGCCGCTGGAGGACCGTGCGTTGGTGACAGGTGTCATATGTACTGATTAAATGAGAAATGGACTGGTGATAGGTCTGATCCTATAATTGAAGCTGTTTTTGGAGCTTCAGAACTCGGATTAGCCGTCGCCTGCCACCAGAAATCAATTTAGGATGGGAACTAGCTTTTGTTTCGTTTTCCGTCGAAATTGCTCGCTCGTTTTCCGTCGAAATTGCTCGCGTTTACTTTTCTCTAGTGAAACATGTTTTCAAAAGAATGACTGAAATTTGCAGTCGGCGCGCCCTAAAGCCCAATAAACAAACAAAGAATGACAGAAATATCAGTGGCTGTATGCCTGATTTGTCCTGTACGTCCCTTCTGACCATCCGCCCAATTTCCTCCCAGTAGTGCCCGGTACTGAGGAGCTCTCGCCGGACGAGGACGGGCCTCTGACCCCGCCGCCGCCGCGGCCGTCAGCAGCGGCGAGCCGCGCGCCTCAGCCCCGCCTGCAGCGGCCCAACATCATACACAGGCGGCGAGAGGTGAGCCACGTCCCGTCCACCATGGGTGTGGATTTCCGCTGAGTTGGGGGTGCCCGGGCGCAGCAAACCGCCGCTGCCCTAGCGATGACCTTGACCCGCGCCGTCTGTTGCGGCTCCGAATCCAAGCCGGCGGGGCATTGGGAGAGCTCGGGCTACCCCAGCTCGGCGGAAATTCACACCCATGCCGTCCACCCTCGCGCTGCACTCAGTCCTGTGAAGGTGGCAATAAAGGTGGAATTATCCGTAACCAAAGACGCTTGCTTGTGCGATGACAACAGCTCTGTGGTCATCTTACGTATATGTATTGCGAAGAACTGCCTAGGACACTACGATTCATACCTGGCTCACATATGATGCCTACGCTTGGTCCGTAGGGGATATTATGAACCACTTCTCGCTGTTAACCTTCTCCATATTTTGTCTATCCTCAGAGTGAGAACAAAACGTGGGGTGATCGGTGTGTGGATGCGTTCGAGCTGATAGCCCAGGTCGGCCAGGGTACCTACGGCCAGGTGTACAAAGCCAGGGACTGCGAGACCGGTGAGTTTAGAGCGACACAAAGTGTCTGTTTTGTGTCAGGGCCGGGTGCTTGAAGGATAATGGTGCCGTTACTAGTCGGCGTTGACTGCAACTATGACGTGGTCTGACGTAGCCACCATACGTTTTGCCGCGGCCTCACAGTCTCCTTGCTCAGCAACGTGTTGGCAGCGGTGTATTCACACATACATGTATATCCGTAGGACTGAGGCAGAGTAGTTTGAAGTTGCGTTGCTTCCTAACTTGAGTGTTCGTAGTGCGACTCTGCCCACTTGTTTTGGTTGTCGCGGTGTTAACATTTTCACCGTGTTCGATTTTCTGTATGTGACATGCTTTTATCGTTACAGGCGAGGTTGTTGCGTTGAAGAAAGTGCGATTGGAGAATGAGAAGGAGGGATTTCCTATTACGGCTGTGAGAGAGATCAAGATCTTGCGACAACTAAACCACAAGAACATAGTTAATATTAAGGAGATTGTTACGGACAAGCAGACTGCGGTGGACTTCCGGAAGGTAAGTCCCGCCTCACGGTGCTGTGATAGGTTGTCAGGTGTGCACTCAGTGCAGTGCAACGAAACAATATCACTTGTCTGTATTTTTACTTGGTCCGGGCCAGTGGCATGTTAATGACTTGACGTCACCAGTTTCAGCCTCTCATATTTTTCTTTTTTTTAGGCGGCATCGTTATTACCTGGCCAAAGTGTGCAATGTCGCGCAATATGTATGCTACAAAGTCGGCCGGCTAGTGCCTAATACTCTGCTCACCGGTCTTGACGAGCATGATCTTTTCAACACACATATGAATGACATTGTCTCTGCACTTCTGCAGTCCGGGCGTCCAAAACGCCAAACTCATCAGTTCCTGAATGATGAGACCTGATGGTCCTGAGATCCGACAGACCTAATGCCGAGTATCTACGTTTGAATTCTACCAGTGACGATAACCACCAGCTGTCTGCCCGCTGCTCCGCGCTCACCCACCTTCACTCTGTCTCCCTACAGGACAAGGGTTCATTTTACCTGGTGTTTGAGTACATGGACCACGACCTGATGGGCCTGCTCGAGTCAGGGATGGTGGACTTTGACGAGCCGTCCAACGCCAGCATCATGCGACAGCTGCTCGAGGGGCTCAACTACTGCCACCGGAAAAACTTCCTCCACAGGGATATCAAGTGCAGCAATATCCTGCTCAACAACAAGTAAGCCAATTACTGTGGTCATCTTGCGGGCGTGAGGCATTTCCTGCTCTCTTCACATCCAATATCACTTCAGTTCAGACCTAGATCATGTGCTGTGTCGATTTACTGCCATCAAGTTTATTTGTAGACATACTTTCGTAACGTTTTTACTTTCTTTATCTACAGGGTGTCCCATAAGTTCCTTCTCACATTATGTTTGCATGTGAAACAGAGTACATTGCGTTTTAATATATTTATGACCCCTCAATGTGCTCCCCATTTAATTGGCAAACACATGAATGCATGCTGCGGCATGCCAAACGGCATGTTTGGCTGCATAGCAGGCTTAAAGTTAACCCAGACTGACTTGACATGCGCCGTGAGCTCCTCGAGGCTGGAACAGCGCTACGCTTCGACGAGCCTCAATTTCAGCATAACCAACAAATTTTTATGAAATTTTGATCCAATGAGGTGCCTGGCATGTGATCTTGCCACAAACGCCTGTCACAGTCTCCTTGCACCGCTTTTAAGCTTTGCTTGACCTGTGCACTGATGCACTGTCTTGCCTGAAGATGGGCCTACGACCTCCCGGATGCCATTTTCTCCTCTATAAATATGTTCATACTCGCGGTTCGAGTTCAGCTTGAGGGCTGAAACTCCTCCTAGATGTTCTTGGAAAAGCATTCTGTTTCTCAAAACTGTTTCTGGGTTGCCACTTGCAACTTGGTCAACTCCAGAACGCCTATAACCCCACAACACAGTGACCTGGCCTTTTGCATAGGAACATAACGGGACGAAACGGAGGCCTCCTCCTTCGCCCTTATGGGGTTGTATTCGGGTTTGGACGGGTGTTTCATCTCGAACGTGGACTAGTTAGTCCTGATGACCTGGTTGATGTCATCAGCCCTCTGTTTTGTTTAGCCTCAGACATAACGAAACTCATGTTTGGCCATTTTAAGACGTTTTTGACTGTTTTGTGCCCTCCGTTAAGCAAAGCTTAAGTCACCTTGAGTTATGTACCCCGAAAGAACACTCTTAGACAGCTGGTAATCCATCCTGAAAAGTCTGCTTACCAACTTTGTAACCCTTTGACCTTTTTGATGGCCACTTTGGCGCCACACAGTTTTGGCCACTTGGCTCACTCCTGAGGGCTGACTGGAAAGAGGATAAACTTGTAGTGACTGACTCCCGACAAATCATCGGCGTCACTTGCTGACTGTGCGTCCAGTTAGCGATGGGCATTGGCTACAGACTGGTAGGCCTCAATCACCCTCAATCGTCGCGAATGGTCACGTGCTGACTAAATACTGAGACGTACCCGTATCGGAGACCTCTATGTTGCGGCGTTAGCCGTCTCTGTAGGAAGCGGTCTCTATAGCAAAAACTATTTTGTCTACAGAAATTAGCTAATGTGGAGCATATTTCTACCAGCCATGGCAACCACGTAAGCTCAGTTACGAACCAATTTCAGCGTGCCTTTAAGCAAGAGAGCCTAAAAACGTAAAATTTAGGTGAGAACGAACTTATGGGACACCCTGTATCGTGATGTTTCCTTAATGAGCCATTTGTGTCGTCATTTCCGCCATGACCATGCATTTTCCTGGCTGGCCGTCACAGGGGTCACGTGAAGCTGGGCGACTTCGGTCTGGCTCGGCTGTACAACGCCGAAGAGTCTCGTCCGTACACCAACAAGGTGATCACGCTGTGGTACCGGCCGCCGGAGCTGCTGCTCGGGGAGGAGCGCTACGGGCCCGCAGTCGATGTCTGGAGCTGCGGCTGCATTCTCGGCGAACTCTTCCAGAAGAAACCGCTCTTCCAGGTGGGTGGACGGTGCGCGACGTCTCGGTGGGACGGCGGGGTGGAGGACAGAATTGCTGGGTGGAGTGATAGAGTGTTGGCATTAGTGAATTAACTAAAGATCGTTCGACATGGGGCACTTGTTCTATGCGGTTTGGATGATGTTCAGCTAGTTGTGGCAGAGTTGTGCGTTACATGAATCGCCACTGGCCAGCCTGTAATATTTGAGTATGTCGTACCTTAACTACGCTCGTTATGTCGAGCGTGTATTTTGTTTTTTGTTTTGCCCACGGTTCCTGAACACCATTTCGTCACAGTTCACGTAGCTTGAAAGTGGTGTTTTCCTTAGGCCGCTGCCTCGAGACGAAAGGCACTCACCCTCCGCCGGTCTTCTAGACCGCACTCACGGCCACCTTATACCATCTCCTGTGTCTGACAGGGCGCCAACGTGGAGATCGCCCAGCTGGAGATGATCTCCCGACTGTGCGGCTCCCCGTGTCCGTCCGTCTGGCCGGAGGTGGTCCGGCTACCCCTGTGGAGCACCCTCCGACCCAAGAAGCCCTACCGGCGGCGCCTCAAGGAGGAGTTCTGGCACATGCCCTCGGCCGCGCTCAGCCTCATGGACAAGATGCTCGAGCTCGATCCGAAGAATCGGATATCGGCCGATGACGCGCTCAAGAGCCCCTGGCTGAAGAACATCAACTCGGACAAGTGAGGAATGGGCCGTCTTCGGGGTTGGACTTATGCTTGAATACGAGATGTTAGGCTTGTTATTATGCGAAATTAGAGTGACTGAGTGACTGTTCATGGTTTGCACACGACGTTATGCGGGGATCAACTTGGTCCCTTCATTTTTAAACACTCTGGCCGACTCTCCATGCGACTGCTCAGATCCACATTTCAACTAGTTAGCTAGTTCGTTTACCGTGAGGCCGCTATGCCTCCCATTTTCTCTCCGTATGACTGACCCCAACCCTCCGTGTCGACAGGCTGCCTCCTCCCAACTTCCCCGAGGGCCAGGACTGTCACGAGATGTGGTCCAAGAACCGGCGCCGCCAGCAGCGGGACCAGATGGAGGGCTCGCGACCGGACAGCGCCGCCTCGGCGAGGGAGCGGGGCGCGGCGCCGGCCACCGACTCGGCACGGTGAGAACTGCCGCGGACAGCCGCGGACGGGACGGGGCTGGAATGGTGGTGAGATGCCGCGGTGATGGTGGGATCGGCTGTGTCTATTGGGACGAAAGGGAAGAGGATATTCTATGCGAATTGAGTGAGGAGTCCGCACTCCATCCGCATGATCACGTTGGATCACGTCTTTGCTACAATATTGATAGGTACGACTGCCGCGGTTCACATAATTATGTGTTTGTACTTGCTTTATCGCGGCAGTTGTCTGTCTGTTGCCAGTTTGCCGTACTAAATGAGCCTCTTGGACCAACGATCCCGCCCCGCATCCGTCTGCCCTTGAGCGTGTACTTTGCTCCACCGCTTTGACGATCTGTGATGAGTCCGATTCGTCCGTACCGGTTACCACTGTGTGACTAATCCATCACTGTACCGCTGTGTCTATTGTGACCTCTGTGTGACCGACCAGGACGTCGCCGCGGTCGGCGCGGCCCGAGTCGTCGCGGGACAACTCTGACAGTCAGCCGGTGTCGACCACCACCTCTCCACACACACCTCCCCCGCCGGCGGCGCCCGCACCGCCGCCGCCGCCACCGCCCGCCGCCGACAGCGGATCCCTACGCTCCCTGCTTCAGCAGCTCATAGACCTGCTGGCAGAAGGCGAGCCGGTCACCTGCGAACACATCACCAACATTGTGCATTGTGAGGTGAGTCGCCAGCAACGTTCGCCGCGACTCGCATTACCAGCGTTGTAAACTGCTTGGAAGGCAGTGAATGACAAATGAATGCTTTGCATTGACATCAAGCTGGGGGGGGGGGGAGGGGGGAAGGGGAACTGCTGCCTTTTTGCGTTTCGTTTTTGGGTAACAAGACGGTAATAAGATTGTTGCTGAACGTTAATTACCGTCAGATCCGAATGTCAAAGGGCCTCACCCGTTGCTGGCATAAATCGTTTCCGACCTCTGACACCCCACCCTGACCTCTGCGTATGTCTGTTCCCAGGTGGACGCCGTGACCCAGCGGCTGCTGGAGCCGGTGAACGCCCAGCTGTTGGTGGCTGCCTCAGAGGCCGGCGCCCGCCTGGAGCCCGGCCTGCGCGTGCTGGGCCGCACCGGGCTGGCGGCGCCCCAGCTGCGCCTGGCGCTGGCAGCCCTAGTGCGCCACTGCGGGTTGGGTCCGCTGCCGCCCTGAGCGGCCGGCGGCCCGTCCCCCCCCCCATCCCCGCACTGTTATATTGTGATGATCCGGCGGGCGCCGACAGCCGCGGCGCCCGGGACTGCATTCTCTTGCTTGTTGCGTGACTGCTCTGTATCGTAGGTGTTAATAAATTGGTTGACGGCCGTCTCCGCAAGCGTTCTAGTGGTTTTGGCGTTCATCCCCCGAACACTATACACGATACACATTGCACACGATGTTTAAGTGACGTGCTTCATGTATTCTTTTTTTTGTAAAGCGGAACACCAAATTCGCTACGGCACGAGCCTTCTGATCACCTCGACTGGAACAAAACTGTTCCCAGATAAGACGTGCTGCCAGCTAAGACAGTATGGATAAGACAGTTTGGAGTATGGACCCCATGGGGTCCAGTCACCACAGCCGTGACGTTACTTCAGCTTATGGCTCGAGGAAGGCCATAAAAGGCTTGAACCAGAGAAATGCTTCAAACGTACGAGGTAGCCTTAATTCGCATGCGCGCGTAACTTTCATGCGAATAAAGGTTCCACGTTGCAAGGCAGTCTCCATCTGCAATGAATGGGTTTGTCGTTTCTATCCCAGTCGGAGCTCGGTCTCCTAACACGGGACGCATTAGTCAGACCCCCAACGCAGCCTTGTTTCATCAGCCGGGTTCAGCCGAGCCGTTGGGAGACACCTCGGGCTCAACCATCAGCAGCTGCCTCAGCTCTCCGTCGCCAGTGACCAGGTCGGCTGGCCGGCGGCCCCGCTCGTCCCTGACGGCGGCCAGCGCGGGCTCCATCTGCAGCAGTAGCCGGCAGGCGTCTGTCCTCTGCGCCTCCGCGGCCCGGTGCAGCGCCGTCTGACCGCGCTGGTCCCGGGCGGTGAGCGAGGCGCCGGCGGCCGTCAGCCGGCGGATCACGGCCAGCCGGCCGGCGCCGGCAGCCCGCTGCAGCGCCGTGGCGCCGCCGCCGGTGGGGGTGTCGGGCGCGGCGCCGGCGGCCAGCAGGAGCTCCACGGCCTCCAGCTGGCCGGCGCGCGCCGCGTAGTGCAGCGCCGTGTACCCGGAGCGGTCCGGCCGGTCAGCGGGTACTCCGGAGCGGAGCAGACGCTCCAGGCGGGCAGTGTCGCCCTCCAGAGCTGAGAACAGACGACAGAGTTAGCACATGGGTAGTTTGTAGGTAACAGTCTGCCAAAACTAATTCCAGCTAAAGCCATCTGAAAATATTTAGAAATGAAACACATACCTGCTGGCCAGATTCCTCTCTCCCAGTCCATTTCATCCATGGTCTGTGAAACTGATGGGACAGCTGACTGGACGGAGCAGCAGTGGCTGCTCCCATCACCATGATTATGATCCTTTGAAGTCATGCTGAAATTAGATTAGATTAGATTAGATTAGGGATAGTGGGCTGATTTAGGCAGGCTATTCAGTGCCCACATCGTAAGTACTTGGAGACTAATGATCAGGAATCAGACAGATAGGAAAGCGTCACTGGTACCCATATTTCAACTTATCGAGCCGGTTCTTGAAAACGTTTGTTGTTTCTGCCTCTACCACTTCTGATGGGAGGCTGTTCCAGAGAGGGACCACTCTGTTTGAGAAGAATTTTGCCCTTACTTTGGTCTTTACTCGGTTCACTTTGAGCTTCAAACAGTGTCCTCTAGTCATGTGACCTTGCTCCTTGACAAAGAATTGATTCGGATCCACATTGGTTTTTCCTGTCAACATCTTGTAGGTTTCTATCATATCTCCACGCCTGTACCTTTCCTCAATACTGATGAGCTGCAAAATTTTCAACCTTTCTTCATATGTTTTGTCCCGTAGTCCTTGCACAAGCTTTGTAGCCCTTCTTTGCGTTTTTTCCAGCATCTTTAGGTCTCTCTTCATGTATGGCCCTGTTGCTTGTAAACAATGTTCCAAGTGAGGTCTGATATAAGTTGTGAATAATGGCTTGAAATTTTCAACTGTTAATCTGTCAAATGATATCCGCAGCAGCCTCAAGGCTCCCATAGCCTTGTTAGCCACCCTTGCGCAGTTGACAGAGGCCGTTAAAGTATTGGACACGAAAACTCCCAGGTCCTTCTCCAATTCAGTTACTTCAATCTCCATGTTAACACCATTTGTTTGCTTCATGTAATACTTTACCATTGGATTTTGCCGGCCGCAGTGCATAACTTTGCACTTACTTACATTAAATTTAAGCAACCATTTCTCCGACCATTTGGACAGAACATCCAAGTCTTCTTGTATTTGCAATGCGTCTGCTTCAGTTGATGCCTTTCCAAACAGCTTCGAGTCATCCGCATACATTTTCATTGTGCTTTTCACCAGGTCAGGGAGCTCATTTACATACAGGGCAAACAAAACGGGCCCCAGCACCGAACCTTGGGGAACACCACTTGTAATTTCAGCCCATTCGGAATAACAATTCTGGACAGAAACCCTTTGCGTTCTGTTATGAAGGAACTCACTTATCCACTTCAAGACATTTCCGGATATGTTGTAACCAGCCAGCTTCTTGATAAGCCGTTTGTGTGGTACAGTATCGAAGGCTTTACTATAATCCAGATAAATCACATCCATTCCTTCGCCCTCATCTTGCATCTTAGTCCACTCCTCAAAAGTTTCGAGTAGATTGGTCTGGCAGGATCGCCTGGGTACAAAACCATGCTGGTGTACTGATAGTGATCCAGCTTCCTCTATATGCTGCATGATGCGTTTCTTGATTATCCTCTCCATAACCTTTCCTGTTTGGCTCGTCAAACTAATAGGCCTGTAGTTACTGGGAGATGACTTTTTACCCTTCTTGAAAAGTGGTATCACTGTAGCACTCTTCCAGTCATGCGGTATCTCTCCTGCACTGAGGGACTTCTTAAACAGAATTGTTAACGGCCATGCCAGAGCATCTGAACAACATTTAAGAATGTTTGTTGGGATTCCATCAGGGCCTTGTGCTTTGTCCATTTGAAGCATATCAAGTTCCTTCTTCACATCCATGACATCAATATCAATATCCTGCAGTACTGGCATATTGTCTGTTTCCCTGGTAAAGTCGGGCACATTACTTGCATCCTCTGAGACGAACACTGACTTGAAAAAACTGTTAAGCTCTTCAGCAACTTCACTGTCATTGGAGGTCAGCTTACCTGAGCTAGTCATCAGCGGACCCACTCTAGCTTTCACTCTCTGCTGCGATCTGATGTACCTGTACAGCTTCCGTGGATCGGATTTCAGGTTTCTCGCCAGATTGTTCTCATAGGCATGTCGTGCATCACGGATAGCCTTAGTTGTCCTATTTCTTTGTTGAGCATACTTTGCATGGTCTTCTGCTGATCTGGTCTGTACATATTTCTTCCACAATCTATGTTTATTCTTTACTTCTTTAGTAAGTGTTCTATTCCACCATCTTGTTTTTGTACGCCTCTCTTTAGTTTTGATGCATGGCACATACATCAAAATATTCTCATTGATTTTCTCCTTTATGCAGCTCCAGGTCTCTTCAACGCTCATTATTTCCAGCGCGTTCCAGTCGACATTTCTGAGGCTACCCAGCATTCCAGCATAGTTGGCTCTTCTGTAGTCGCGCCTTTCAGCTGCCTTTGTTTGCTTGAGCTTTTCTTTTTTATCTTCATTGTACATACAATTCCAAGTCAGGACCACATGATCGCTTTTCCCGAGAGGCTGACCAGCCTCCAACTCATCAACCAGATGCTCTCTGTTGGTGAATATCAGGTCAAGTCTCGATGCCACACATCCTTCTCTGAATCTGGTCTCAACATCAACATGCTGGCTCAAAAAGGCATTTTGTGTGGCTTCGAAGAAGTGTGTTGCCTCTGACTCCTCTGCACCTTCAACGTACCAATGTAAAATAAAATTCCAATGATACAAAAATCTTCCTTAATACAATGTAATGCAGCAGCCAGCAGGCCTTGTCATACCATTGAAGGTGAAATAGCCTCAGCAGAACCGAATGAATATTAAAAACAAATGCTGAGCAGGGTCAGCTGACATGCCATGATGAAGAACAAATGGATGAGGATTCAAGAGCTGAAGCTACCACTGAACGTTCACCGACAGGATTCTACAAACTGATGAAATCTGAATCATGAATTTGAATTATGAATGCAGCCAATTCATGTTTATGTTGACGGGAGTGCGCAAGGCGAATGGGATGTGAATCCATGATTGGGATGTCGATGTAGGATTGGTAACTTGGTAAGTGGCTTCATATGTAGGGATGATGCTGGGCACTGGCACACAGGATAAACAGTTTCATAATAACACAGAACGATCACTGTGCCTATAGGAAATTCATCCACCTATCAACTTTTATGGACGCGTGTATATCACACCACGGTGAGATTTACATAATGCATCGCACTGTAGTGTAAACCTCACCCGGGTGTGATTTACACAATACACTACTCTTGTGTATATCACACCACGCGGAGTGTGATTTACACAGTGGGCCGGCAATGCGTAAATCACACCGTGGTGTGATATACACAATGTGCTCCTAGTGTGTAAATCACACCTGGGTGTCAAACCACGCAGCACCTGGGTGTGATTTACACAGTAGGCCCGGCAAATGCGTAAATCTCACCAGGGTGTGATATACACTGTGTGCTCGGTAGTGGGTAAATCACACCTGGGTGTCAAACCACGCAGCACCTGGGTGAGATTTACACAATAGGCACGGTAACAAGACACTTAACCAAACCTTAGACCTGACCTGACCTAACCTAACCTAACCTAACCTAACCTAACCTAACCTAACCTAACCTAACCTAACCTGACCTACTGATTTTTGCCTACCCGTGGATGAGGAAGAAGGTACTCGCATGAAGAGATTGCAAGCAATGGTAAGTCAAATATTTTTAGGTTAAGTGGTTGTGCATCAGGCTTCAGGCCTTCGGCCTGAAGCCAGATACACAACCACTTAACCTAAAAATATTTGACTTACCATTGCCTGTAATCTCTCCTAAGGCATTGCCTTCGGCACTGCACCGCTTCGCCACGAGCATTCAGACGTCGCTTTCCATATTGTATTGGTGCTTTTAAACTTGTCGGTCGGCAGCGAACCCACCGCTACCAAGGAAAAGCGAAAATGCGGGAAAAAGCGCCTGCACCGACGGGACTCGAACCCGCAACATTCGTATCATGGTGCAAGCACCTTCACCACTAGGCCAGGCGGTCAGCTGATTCCGGGAGAGAGGACGCCCGGAATGCCGCCGGAATATTCGTAGTGCTTAGTCTGATCTGACCAATGGGCGAGCAGAGTCACTGCTCTGACCAATGGACGTTCAGCGTTGCTATGACGTCGCATCGTGGTGAGATATACACACAGCTGCCCTCTCTGTGTATTCCTCACCCGGGTGTGATTTACACTACGTAGTAGATTTTGTGTATATCACACCGGGGTGGGTGTGATTTACACAAATGGCCGGTATTGTGTAAATCTCACCGTGGTGTGATATACACGGTCCCAACTTTTATTTCAGCAACACACACAAGCAAGCGGCTTTACACGGATTTTTTTTTTTTTTTTTTTTTTTTTAGTGGCCCTAACTTACGTTACCGGCCTCGCGAGGAGGGCGGCGACCTAACTACGCCGCGCAAAACAAACCGGCCGTCCTAACTAAGACCGGTGGCCACTTTTACTGCAAGACAACATGGGAAAACCCATATCCATGTACTATGCCATGAATATGGGGAAAAAACCCATGAATTTACGTTAAGACACATAAATGACAGTGAGACTTACCGTTAAATTGGTGTTTGTGAGGGGAGGGAAGGAGGAAGTTTGTGAATGGTAGGGTTACGATGTTACGATGAAAGTTGGATGATAGGAATGGTTTGAAGAGTGGGGGATATGTCGCTGCCGTTGTTGAAGGCCGATTGCTGTACCCGGGCCTGTGGTCATCCAAACCCGGCCGCTGCCGCTGTTCAGCGGCCGGGTCCGTGACTGAAGAATCCTTGGCCGCTGCTCGTCGTTGTGCAGTGGGTGAAGGACAGTCCCAGAGTATGTGGACAGTCCCTTGCGATGATAGCGAGAAGGATGTCAAGTCATGGTGCATACTTTACAGTTTGTCGGAATAAGGTGAGTTTAAGACAAAATCAAGTACTAGATCAGTTAGTGCTGGATCATCTCCGAGAAGAGTCGGAAGATCGTTTCTGAGGCGATATTTTGTAAGGTGGTTGTTGATATGTTTTCGTTCGTTGCGGAGGGCTGTGCATCCGATTAGAATGTGTTCAACCGTAATGCGTGTGTTGCATGTTTGGCATATTGGTGGGTCCGTCCTTTCGAAAAGATGACAGTGGGTGAAACGAGTATGTCCGCATCGTAGCCTTGCCAGTGTAACCTCGCGAATCCTATTTGGCTGGTTGCAAGTTGTCCAGTATGTAAGATTTTGCTTGATCGCATATAAATGAGGAGAGTGGGTTTGATTCCATTTGTTTTGTAGGTAGGTATTAAATTTTGTTCGGAGTTTGTGGCTGACGTCCCCGATCGAGAGAGGCACCCCACTAGGGTCTGCTCTCATTGCTCCTTCCTTAGCGAGGGTGTCTGCTAGCTCATTCCCTGCGATGCCACAATGACTTGGCACCCAAAGAAAAGTTATATGCTGACTTTCGTCTAGTTCTAGTAGCATTTTGTGGATATTTTGGATGCAGTAGTGGGTGACGTTATCAGTTCTTTCTAGAGCCTGAAGGGCAGATTTGGAATCGGTGCAGATTATTGCCTGTTCAATGTGAAGTGTTTGTATATGACGGACTACCGTTTGAATAGCGTGAACTTCTGCTGAAAAAATAGTGGCATGGTCTTGCAGGCGTATTTTGTATCTAATATTCGGGCCCACGGCTGCCGCGCCCGTTTGGTTTGAAAGACATGAGCCGTCAGTGTAGAAGGAATTGCTCCAGTGGTTACATTTTGTCGCAGATGCGCAAGATCTGCAAACGATCATGAATGCGTCCATATTAGAAAAATGCTGCCATAACCTAATTTTATCCTGCTTGCCTCCATTACAGGAGCCTATTTCTTTCACACTTTCGCGAAGTGATTTTTCGTTATTACAGTTTGGATGAAGCAACAGTCGCAAACCAACATGCTTAAAACCATAGCTGGTTCACATGACGTTATCTGGTGAAATGAATGCAACGTGCATTTCAGCAGCAGCTTGTCATGGACACTCCGCCACGCAACTGCTACTTCTCTTCCTTCTTCCTAGATGGCACTAGCTGTAACGCCTGATTGTAGGCTGTGCCGCATTGCTCATGCTCGCCGACCGTCGTCGCTGGTGAAGCGTGTTATAGCCGGGATTCCGGACGGTTTCAGGAGGTCGGAAGAAGAATGAAGTTCGGAAGAAGTTGAGAAAAGCGTTAACATGCATTGGACGATGAAGGTGATAATTCTTTTTTATTTCAAGTTGGAAATGTACCTACCCGTAGCTGCAAATCCAAGCCATGCGAATCTGCGTCAAGAATACCTATCTGCAATCTGTATAACTTCCAATAGTTTATAGTTGCGACGTAGCGTTACGGTCGCGTGCACTGATTTTCAGTTCACTGCACAGTGCACATCCGAGCGCAATGAACCATGTTTAGCGAGGTGGTTTCCGCACTCGGTAGCCGTTATAGGTATGGTAGTTACCATGTTCGGTAACCGTCACACGGTAGCTGGCAGCTGCCATAGATTTAGGTACATGGTGTTTGCCATACTCGTTGGGTACCCAGCGTTTGCTTTGTTTGCGGTGGTTGTGGTGCTTGTCATACTCGGTAAACGTCACACGGTGCCGGCGGTTGTCGTAATAAGTAACCGAGCTGGTTACCGTATTCGGTGGTGAGCGTCGCACCGGTTACCGCACCTTTTCTGATGACGGCAACGATGATAATTCGATTACCGGCTTTAGAGTGAAACGGTATTCGTTACTGTCACTTTAACTTAAACACCGTTCGTCCAATTATAACATAAGCGAATTGTATATAAGCGGATGGCAGCGGTAACTCGGCGATAACCGTCACATCCCGACTGCCGTGTGCTCTCGAGACGAAAACCGCCACATTCAGTCTGTCATGTCCTCTGGAAACGGAGACGTCACACGCCGGTCGCCGTGTCCTCTGGCACGTGACTTGCAGAGCGCAGCTCCTCTCCGAGGCGCGCAGCTGCGATCGACCGGCGCGCCGGGCGGCGGCGGCCGGCGGCCGAGGGCGTCACTCGGCGGGCGCCGCGGGCGCCGCGGCATGGTCACCTAGCCGGGCGCCGGCCAGCCGCCATGCCGCTGGTGCCCAACCTGGGCCCGCAGGTGGCCGCGCTGTGGGCGCGCGCCCGCGCCGCCCTGCCCGACTCCTGTCTGGCTGGTGCCGACGAGAGTCTGCACTTTGCCAAGTATGGCCGCCGGCCGGGCGACACAGAGCTGGCCGGCCTGGGCAAAGATGGCGGCGGCCGTCCGAACGGCGCCGCCGGCGACGAGCTCGGCGAGGGCGGCTCGTCCGGAGACAAGATCGACGAGTGGCAGGCCGGCTGGAACGTCACCAACGCCATCCAGGTCAGTGTCCGATGTCATTAACGCCATCCAGGTCAGGGGTCACGTGAGCGACCTGACCTCATATGACCTTTAAAAAAGTCCGAGATTTGCAAATTGTAAGACATCTGAAGGATACTGTCCTGTAAGTTTCATTTCCCTGTGAAAGCTCCTCTGGCACTGAGGGCATTGCGAAGTTGCGACATTTTAGGACTGTATAGAGGCTCACTTATGACGTCATAGGTCAATGACCTGACCTGAACTGAAAATGCGGTTGGTGTTAAAAGATCCGGCTTAAATCAAACGTCAGTTGTGTGGAGTTTCAACTCTCTATCGCCGGCGCGTTTTGAGCTATATCGCGAAAAAAACCTAAAGGGGTGGCACCTGCACTCTCGGCCGGCGAGGGTTAGAAACGTGAACAAAACGTCATCCAGGGCAATATGCAGGTAATCATATGCAGGCAATATGAGTTATAGGTAAATTACTCTAATTGAAGTCGTAATATCGATACACTAAACGCTTCAGTAAAATTTTAAATTGTAGTATGTCACGGTCTCCGTGCCTCTTTCCCGCTCCGCCGCCTTTGACAGCCATTAAAAGATACAATATTTTCATTATTCAATATTCTTAATCGTAATGTGGTATGCATTTTACGTCCCACGACAGCCACCTGGAGTCAAGCTGATGCAGTATGCACGTCGTCTTGTACAGGCTCCTGCTTTTTGGGCTTATATGAGGTTCTGTGATGAAAGACGGGCTTTTATAAATGGACGGCTATGTGTCAGTGGCCCGTTTTCGCTAGACGGACATCATACGACGCTTTCATGTTGGCATGTCTGTCATGTTCTTGAGATGACTGACGGACGACGGAAATTCTGATGATTGAGCCAACTTACCGCGAAGTCGTGCATGATCCTCGAATCCAGACCTCTCGGTTTTCATCGATCATGGCAGACATGCCATGCTGCTCAGTGCTCACCGTTCTTTGGACATGAGAATTGTTGAGCTCAAGGCAAAAACCCTCACGCAGAAAAAGTGAAGTAGCTGTCTTTTGATTTTTAGGCCATTAGATCAATTGCCACTTATATTAGGTAATGACGTACTTAATGGAAGAGGGACACCATAAAACAGAGTAAGACGTGGTGAAGTAATGGGGAGGTTGGTACTATGTTTATTGTGTGACAGCTTATCGCCCTGAGCTGCATAACAGCACAGTATTTACACGGGCTTCAATGCGGGACCATTGAGAGGCAGGTATCCTGACTACACCGAGGCGCAATATGTAGCTGTGAAGGCTGCACTGTCGCGAAACACACTTCCATAAAGTGCATTGCGGCACAGTTATCTCCAAAATGGCACTGCAGCGCAATCTTTCTCCGAGCTGCACTGCGGCACAGTATGAGCTGTAATGTGGCACATAAGCTCTCTGAGCTGCACTACGCCAGTACGGCACAATAAATATCTCCCGAGCTGCACTGTGGCACAGTATCTCTATGAGCTGCACTGCGGCACAGTATCCTCCCTGGACTGCACTGCGGGACAGTATCTACTTGAGCTGCACTCCGGCACAGTATTTCCCTAACTAAACTGACTGCAGTACAGTATCCTTCAGGCTCCATGAGCTGCTCTGCGGCACAGCATCTCCATGAGCTGCACTACGGCACAGTATAACTTCATGAGCTGCACTGCGGGACAGTACCTATCGAGCGATCTCAACTACAGCACAATTCTCTCCGAGCTGCGCTGCGGCACAGTATCCTCCATTCATATATTCATGCGACACAATCACAGTTGTCAAAGAATGGCCTTGGTGATGTTTGCTAAAACGCATGACGATGACGATGACCAGCATCCATCCATCTAACAGTCATACGCAATCACATTCAGGCTGCTCTCTCATTTCTAACAAGACAATCCCACACGTTCGTTCCAAACACATCTTGACATTTTTACAATGATAGGCACACCGCAGTCCGCACACAGAGCATAAGTTATGTAATGTGGAAATAGCCGACATACAATTGATTTCAAGCATTTGTTGTTCGCAAGGGGACTTCTATTGTTAATGAGCTGCTCTGCGGCACAGTATCCTCCATGAGCTGCACTACGGCACAGTATAACTTAATGAGCTGCACTGCGGCATGTATTTAACATATCACATCTCCCGAGCTGCACTGTGGCACAGTATCTCTATGAGCTGCTCTGCGGCAAAGTATCCCCCATAAGCTGCTCTGCGGTACAGTATCTCTCTCCAAGCTGCACCGCGGGACGGTATAGTCCTTCCAAATTGTATCGTGCGACAGTATGCCCCCTGAGCAGCACTGCGGCACGGTGTACCTATTCAATGAGCTGTACTGCGGCACGGTGTATCTCCATGAGCTGCACTGTCGTAGATACGGTGTACTAGAGCTGCATCGCTATAGGATACCTCCTTGACCTGTATGCTGAGGCACCTAATAGGTATACCCACTTAGCCAATCTTAACGGAGAAAAAATGCTTTCCAGGATTGCAGTTTGCCATCCGACTTTTTCCAACATTATATTGATCGAATTGATCGAATGTCATTGTAAATATGAAATCAACGAAAAAATGCCTAGCCTACGATAGGCAATAAAAATGAACGTACAAACACCGTTCAGCGTTAATTATCAACATATAGGTACAATAAAAGGGGTTTCAATGTTCTTCAGTGTAAAATGTCGCATTAACCACTGTTTTAATCCCACCCAAGTGGTCGGAACATGGGTGAATGGCATCACCATTCTGTGTACGTGACTGCAGCGATTTATCGGTCTCTGTGTTGCAGGGCATGTTCATCGTCTCTCTGCCGTACACGGTACTACACGGCGGCTATTGGGCCATTGTGGCCATGATAGGCGTGGCCTACATCTGCTGCTACACCGGCAAAATACTGGTCGACTGCCTATACGAGGTAAGTGCCATCCACTAGTCGGCCAACAGGGATACCTAAGAATACTCCTGCCACTTATTCGTACGGCAGCAGCCATGTGTTGTACGTAAAAATACATTCGTAAGCGGTAAACGTTCTGCCAACCAGTACCAGCTCTAAAGGGAAGCGCTTAGCCGGTATAACTACATAAATGCTTTTACTAATCAAGCTGTTTCTTTTAAATACACCAGCGAGTGCTAAAGTGCTGCAACCATGGATACAAATTCAGCTGCTATCAAAAGAAGCTGACGACTCTGCTCTCCTTATACAATGCGATTAGCGCGTATCCGCTGTAAGCCACGTAGTTATCATTGGTCATTAATCATTATCAAGTGGTCATCGTTGAAAGCAATATGCTCTCACTGGTGCACGATCTTATCGTCATCTCCTCTCTTTCTCTCTCCTCCGCCAGCAAACTCCCGATGGCGAGCTGGTGCGGGTGCGGGACAGCTACGTCAGCATCGCCAAGATGTGCTTCGGCCCGCGGTGGGGCGCGCGCATTGTCAACGGCGCTCAGCTGATCGAGCTGCTGATGACCTGCATCCTGTACGTGGTGCTGTGCGGCGACCTGCTGGTGGGCATGTTCCCCGAGGGCCAGATCGACACCCGCTCCTGGATGATGCTCTGCGGAATGCTGCTCATCCCGTGCGGATTTCTGAAGAACCTCCACCACGTAAGCACACTCAGCTTCTGGTGCACCATGGCGCACTTGGTCATCAACGTGCTCATCTTCTGCTACTGCCTGTCCTGTGCCGGCGACTGGGGCTGGTCCAAGGTAAAGCTGCGCATCGACTTCCTGCACTTCCCGATCGGGTTGGGCATCATCGTGTTCTCGTACACGTCTCAGATCTTCCTGCCGTCGCTGGAGGGAAACATGCGCGACCCGAGCCGGTTCGAGTGCATGCTCGACTGGTCCCACATCGCCGCCGCCGCCTTCAAGTCGCTCTTCGGCTATATCGGCTTCCTGACGTGGCAGGGCGCCACCCAGGAGGTCATCACCAACAACCTGCCGTCACAGAGCTTCAAGCAGCTCATCAACTTCTTCCTGGTGGTCAAGGCGCTGCTGAGCTACCCGCTGCCGTACTACGCGGCGTGCGAGCTGCTGGAGCGCACCTTCTTCCAGGGCCGGCCGTACACGATGCTGCCGTCCATCTGGGCGCTGGACGGGGAGCTGCGCACCATCGGACTCGCCTTCCGCGTCATCGTGGTCGTCTTTACTATCATCATGGCCGTCATCATCCCGCACTTTGCCATCCTGATGGGCTTCATCGGCAGCATCACGGGCGTCATGCTCAGCTTCATCTGGCCCTGCTACTTCCACCTGAAGCTCAAGTGGGAGTCGCTGTCGTGGTTCACGCGGGGGTACGACATGTTCGTCATCTTTCTGGGCGTGCTGTTCGGCCTGTGCGGTATCTACACGTCAGGGCGCGCCCTGGTCGAGGCCTACCGCATCGGACTGCCTTTCTAGAGGCACTGCGCCCTTCAGCTTCCGCCCGTGGCGGAGGATAAGCGATTGGGCCGATTGAAGTTGGGATAAGAAGTAATGCAATGACCGATTGAAGCAACATGAAAGCAGTAATCGGCAATAAGCAGGCATATGCTGCCGAAATGACAATCAGTCTTCCACGATGAGTCTTCCAGACTACGCGTCTAGTCTTCTAGACCGAGTCTTCCATGTAACACCGTCTTCCAAGTTGAGTCTCACAAGTTTTCGAGACTTCCAGGTAACGAGTCTTCCAGATGTTGATTGGGATTGTGCGACTGCGTGCAGTTTAAGTGCGCAAAGCAGAAAGGTGGCCATGCTGCCGGACCAGTCTTCCAGGAATTAGTGCAATGAAGTCTTCCCTTTGTTGAGTGTGATGCTGTGTGATGTTGTAATGTCTATGGTAGAATGCTTGGTGTCTCGTTGTGAACTTTGTATATCCAGGGTGGGCCAGTGCGGGCTGGGGGCACACTGACAGGGGCGGCTCGGCCGCCGGACTCTCGAGTCCGCGGCCCGGCCAAGCGCTGGAGCAAAAAACTTTGACGCTTTATTGACTGACAAGAATCCGTGCAGCTATCAAGCCGGCTCAGCAGTATCTCCGCTGACTCGCTGAGAGCTTACTTCTTAGAGTTCATCGCTGTAGGGCTGTTAACAGGCGTCGGTAGGACAATTTTTGATAGCACGTTGCAGGGAACTTTTTGATGAAGTTTTTATAAATTGCATCCAACTCCAGAAGGAACCGGGGATATGTGACTGGTAACAGCTTACCCTTGCTATCGCCGTCAGTTTTTCCTTTTCCCCACCCTCAAGTGCCGAGCATGTCAATGACCCAAAGAGCCATGTCCTGAAGGACCATCGACGCAGCGGGACAAGCCGGGCATCAGATACCATCTCATGTAACCTAAGACCGGCCTCTACCCTACTTCTTTCCTCTGCCTCACTCCTTTCCTCTGCCCCGCTTCCCTCCTCTGCCCTGCTCCCCTCCTCTGCCCGGCCAGACCCGCGGTCCGGCGCCGGGTGGCGCCCGAGCTCCGAGAGGTGTCTCTCTGCGGCCCGCGGCGCCGGCGGCGGGTGTCGGCCGGCGGCCGGGCGCCCGGCAGGCTGGTGCCACCGCCCGACCGTCGGCAGATCAATACGGAGCCGGCTCCTCCGCTCCGGGCCCTCTGCCAGCCTCTCCGGCCTCTCCCGACCCCGCCCGAGGCGAGTCGATACCTCCCCGCCCGCCGCCCGAGCGCGGCCTGTGGTCCACAGCCCATCCGCCGTCGCCAGCTCGAAACCGACCCCCGCCTGTCCGCTACGGCTAAATATGATGGCTGAACCGCTCCTAAAAGGCTGAACAAGACAGCTACAAGTCGGCTGCAGATTCTGACACTGAAAGAAATTTAGATTAATGATTCTGTTCACGCTAGTAACCATTGCTACTGCGTGTTACAGGCATTTAGGCATTGTGACACGGTGCCAGCGCAGTGGTTGTTCTCGATATTTTAATTTTTCGTTGGTAAAGGCACATAAAATAAGTATGTTTGTGTGGATGTGTTTCATGACGATAACAATTAGACGCTGTTATGTGAATGTAAACACGGGCGTATAGCGTTTTGATAAGTGCAATATCATGGTCATGTAGTTTATAATACGCATATATTCATTATTTATTGTAAAGTTGTTACTGTCGTGTCATATTCACGTTATCTTTTATATCCAACTTGTTCTTGTAATGCGTAAGTGATTTGTGCAACGTCAGTTAATCTTGATACTGTGATATCTTGGAGCCACCAGCAACTTCTTCATAAGACCTTTTAACATTCCACTACCTACCCTGCTACCTATCATAATGGAATGGAGATGATGTGATGTGGAATTAAACCTAGGTGGATCAATCATTTAATTATCATTAAAGTTTTGGCTTATTTAGTCTGAATTGGTCATGTTGACCTCTCATCTCGGCTAGCTCTGGATTTGTTCATGTTTGGTGTTTTGTTGAGTGTCATTCCGGCGCCTGGTCAGGCCGCCCTGGCGTGTGTGTGGCAATGGGGCGTGGTCTAACCGCCACTAACGCCCCGCCCTCCCTCTAGCCCCGCCTACTGGCCGCCCAGTAGACAGCGGTCAGGTCAGGGTCAGCGCCAAACAAAAAACACAAATAAAATCACAAAATGGACCCGTGTTTTCGTGGATGGAGGGAATCACTATCGATGTAGCGCTTCCACCTTATGGAACTGCAAAACTCAGTAGTCTCTTCGAAGCATGGGTGATAAATGAAACTCTCGAAGGTCGACTCCAAATACATATAGGCCTCACATGTATATAATCGCGCCTGTGTCAGCCAATCTTGTGAGCTAACGTGATCGTGGGTGGGCCGCCCACATTTGGCCGTCCTTCTCGGAAACATACCATCGATAGTGATAGATTAAACCGGGCGTTCTAGGGAGCCGTCTGTCTATGCGAGCTCTGGTCCCATCAGAGCCGATGATGCTACAGGGCGGCTCTCTAAACTGGAGCCGTCGTGCCATTTTCGGTGATGAATGGACCGCCGATATTGGCCGGAGCAGACGGTGGGATATATAGCTGCCGCTCTCCGAGACGAGACCCGACCCCGCCCGTACCCGACCGCAAAGGTCAACTGGGTGGACCGCGGGTCACTGGAGACAGCTGACCGGTCACCGGTTAAACTGGATTGACCGGGGTCATTGGAGAGGGATGACCGGTCAAAGATCAGCTGGATTAACGGGATCACTGGACTTAACTGACTGGTCGGTGGTCGACAACATCCAGAAAAACTGGCCCATGGCCGTCTATTACATACACGAATGACTACTGATACATAGAGCTAAAGGATCTTACCACAAATAAGGTATGTGTTAGCCGTTAGGGCTATGATACCAAAATGAAAGTCGGCATAAGACAAGCTATCTCGCAAACTCTTCCAAATTTAACAAGCTTTCTTCTGAACCCTACCCTTATCCACTTCATAATTTTAATTGGTCTGCTTGGAATACCTAGCCCACCCGTGTCCCGCACTTTCCATGAGCCGAACGCAGTCTCAGCGCGGGGGCGTTCCCAAAGGTCACTGGCAACAAGTTGCCCAGTGGGCGAGGCTAGTTTGGAAATTTAACGACCTCGACCCGTGCTCGAAATAGCTGCGCGACATTTGCCATCAGTGCGTGGGCGCATGGTTACAGAAGCGATATGGTAACTTGAGCACTTCGGTCCTCAAGCTGGGAGTTATGTTACAGAAATAGCTCCAATCTTAGACCGACCACTGCATAGTTCTCTGGTCTGAAATATGACGCACGTTTGGAACATTATTCTGGTGTCGCCACGCTGCTGTCCTTGCATCATCTGCAGGCTCAAGTTTCATCTTCATTAGTTGGGAAATGTGGTTACATACATCTATTATGTTCTATTCTATAGGAATCTATTATGTTAAATATCAGACAAGTTGAGACGCATTGTTGAGCGAAGTCACGATGTACCTAATGGCGCTAATCACCATGATTAGTTTCATCTTTGAGTCGAGCTTTTTTAAGTGTTATGTCTAGCTTTCATTTCATGCCCTAATTTCGGTCGGTTCTCAGAAGGCCGATAATCCCTAACAATTTAATTAACTTATAATGTCTTGCTTGGGACATTATTAATTCTCACAAGCTTAAGTCCTTATGTTGACAAGAAAATAAGTAGTTGACACGCGAAAGACGACAGGATAAAACGTTCATAAGTAGCTCATATTTATTAAGATTAGTTATGGTACAGATTTTGCAAATACGGGCGCTAAGCGACGACCACCTCAGACACTTCCATGCAACAGATTCACACACAAACATACATATGGATGTTGCAGGTTCGTTGAAGTTCGTTGAGGGGGGAGTAAATGAAAATGAGATGAACCATGCATACGTAACTAATATACATTTCACATTCATTTACATTTCAATGATCTCATTGACGTATTCAAAGACAGGCCCTAAGCCATACATATTTACAGTGGCCATCGGACTTACGCATAGCTAACTGTACAGTTTCAGTGCGCCATTTCCACTTAATTTACAATATGCATGCACATAAGCCAAAACCATGCGGATGTGTAACGAGAGGTTGGTGCAAAATAAATACAAGTCATGTCTCAAAATGAAATTAAGGACATTTCAGTAGCGATCATTGACTGTATGACGGAACACGAAAGACTTTACAAGTTCACCAAATCATCACGAGCTAATAAATACAAAGATCGATCGGTGAAAAAAAACCTAGATAAAAAATACTCGCATACAATACACTCAACTTGATGCTGTATACACCTTAAATGGCGTTTATAAATCATTTTTATCTTATAAAGGCCAGCATATCCGTTATAATGGAATTTGATAAACGAAAATCCATCGTCATGTTTTAGCAATAATTTGGGTGCCGTAAGCGCATTACAAGGAAGAGATATCGACATCACTTATCTATCTGATTATTTTCAGAAAGAGCACTGTCGATTTCGATTACATCAGTTTCGTCTCACGCCGTGTTCCATCATCAACATTCACTTTCCTTGAGCGTTTCGCATCTGCGGTGAGGCCCCCGTGTCATGGACTTATCAGGTTTAACTCCACGCTGTAGTTCATATCTCCAGCAGCTCGCACCAACCACTAAGCCACTTGCAGCTGCACGAGGTCAGCTCCAGCCAATGATTTCTGTAGCATCTACCACACCTGACGCTGTCTCAGGGTCCTCATTTTGCCACCGACATCACTAAGATACCACTCCGTCTCAGTCACTGCCGGCGTCGCTCCACCTCGATACAGTCTCACTCGATATAATCGTGCAGCTGCCGCGTTGAACTGGACCTCGAACCGCGGTGTGACTTGCGCTTCCGCTTGATGACGTAGATGGTGATGCAGAGAGTGAGAATCTGCAGGCCGGCCAGACAGGCCAGCGCCGGCACCCAGGTCACCTTGTTGGTCTCGAGCCAGCTCTGCAGTAGCGGGCCGCAGCCGTCCTGCACAGACGAGAGACGGGAAGGTCATTACCGGTGTGCGTAGGTTCTTCGAGGAGAGTTGCGATACGAAGTGAATGTTAAAAAAGAACTTTATTTTCTGAAATGAGGATTTAAGTAAACTATATCTAACATTCGAATAAAAGAACCGTTCAATGGTACCTATACAAAACGTTTAAAAAATTGATTTTTAACTACAAATAGACTTTATTTTCATTAAGCTGTAAAATATTTCATATTCGGCAATATTCGCCGGTGAATAAGGAAAAAATATTCCGAAGGAAATCCGTCAGTAAGTTTCGATACGAAGCCTTTTTGTCCGTCTCACGCCCATGAGAGGCCCAGCGGCTGTTCGCCGCGCGCGACCTCTATACGCGCCGGGCGCCGGGCGCCGGGCGCCGGTCTCACCTGACGGAGCTCCTGGACGGCCCGCGTCTCGCTCGTATAGACTCCCTCCGGAGGTGTCTCCTCGTAGCACGTGCTGTCCAGCAGCGAGTCCGTGTAGGCGAACTCCTTGGGGCCCGTGAAACCGCAACACTCCAGCTACGGGGGGGGGGGGGAGGGGTCAGACGGTGAGAGCGTCCTGGACACACCAAGATTGGTCGAGCACGGTTTGACACACCAACATTCGAATTCGGTCAATCAGCATTCGGCCAGGCCAGCGAGCAGAACTGCAGGCGACAGAACAGTGCACATGTGTGCCAAAGGGCTGCTTTGCAAAGATACTGCAGAAGGAGGTAAAGCAGTAGCGATAAAACTATGCAATCGGTGATATGGAATTACAGTCTTCAGCTAAAACATTTTTGTTCTGTCATGCAGCCTTTTCAAATAATCAACAGCTTCTTACCGACTTTTGGACGAAATTACGGGTATCCTGGTTGATCTCGTTCCAGCTTACTCTGAGCATGTCGTACAGCTGAAATCACACAACAGAATCGGGAAAGTCAACTTCAGCCTTTAGCAGTGCAGGCTTGACGGTAACACAGTCTTGTCTCTCGTACAGTTACGTGTAAAAAACAAAGCTAAAATATACTTTGAAAATATGCTCACGGCGGCTGAAACTCATTCTCGCCCCCACCGGTGTCACCATTGGCCGAGTGTGGTGGTCGAGGATCGGTGGCTTCGGTTACAGGGCCACTAAGATCAGCAGTAGGGACGCCCGTCGCCCAGGGCCCGTTTGACGCTGTGTGCTTACCACACCGTGGCCACCGTGGGATCGTATCGTACGGAGATCCGTGAGCGGACAACACGTTTGTGTGTGTGGGGAGGGGAGTAGGGGAGGGGTGTTCCAGCCGTTGGACTGTTTTGGGGCGGGCCAGTGCCTGCAGCAGAATAACACCTGCACTGCACGTGTGTAAGTGGCCCTTCAGACGGACAACAGCGGGCAAAACAGTCAAGGCCGCGGTCCGAGGTTATCAGCCCAATCTGAAAGTAGATTACGGTGCAGAACAAAGGGTCCGAGCACGAATAATATAGAGGGCACAGAGAAAACATCCCGCAGGGTTCACATAAGATCAGTTGTACAATAGAAATAATGCCAGCAATAAACTTTAGCAGTCTGTTCTTTGCCTTTCAAACAAAGAGAAACCTTAAGAAGGACTGAGGTTCCTGGATATATCGATAACTTTATATCTTTATAGAACAACGCCCCTGTTGGAGGTACTGACCTTGAATTGCATGGCGTAAAGGGTGATGAGTCCTCCCACTTGACCAATTACCAGTAGTAGAACCAGAGACATGAACTGCGGAGAGCGGCAGAACACAGGTCAATTTAAAAACAATTATTTTCAATATGTCTCTATAGATGACAGCATTAGTGGCATGCTAGAAACGTTCTCGAATGACGCATTTAAGAAATCTGCTAACAGCAAAATAGCGCGCCGCTGCTCTATCCGTCCAAGTACCGCAAAATTTTCAAAATCTCCTTCATACTGATCACTGACTTATATCAATAAATAAGTGAAATTGTATACATAGTGAAATTATATACATAGTTCGAACTTTGAAAATGCTACCTACCGAAACTAGTCTGCCCAACTTATCGGAATAATAACGACGACGCACCAGTCGAAGAAGGCAGTAGTTTTCAGAGAAGGACGACACCCAGCCGACCAGGCCAGAGAAGAAATAAACAAAGCCCAGTGAGATGACTACGTAGGTGAAAATCTGAAACATACGAT